GACTCTCAGGGATCAGGTACAGCTGGATGGACGATTGCGTACTTTGCTGCAGGTGTGCAGCGCAGACAGACAGGTGGGCGTATGCGTATGTGACACGTGCATTCTATCAACCAATGAGAAATAACAACGAGAACACAGCAAAACTAGAGTTATTACACTAACAGTGATGGAGTTTAAAATGTTACCTGTGTTAAAGTACATTTACTGCAGTGTAAGTATTATTAATGATCATACGGTGATATGTGTGGTAAATATAAAGGCCTGTAGCAAGGCGATATATTTTTAGAAAAAGATAATATACTAATGAAAAACTCGATTTTTATGTAACTTCCATCACTATGGCACTTTTTTATCAGCTCTATATTGTAATGCCTGTTATTAAAATGTAAGTATCTTAAATTGCAAAGATAAGAGCTCTGCACTAAATGAGTCTGAGATCAGATTAATCTTCCCATCACACTCTTACACCTGCAGCCCGACGCACGGCAAGGAAAATACGAACTGATGTGACTGTACTGAGTCATAGAGCAGGGTCTGTAATGCCCTTATAACTGCTTTAGGCTTACTGTCAATGACACTTCAGCAGGGCGGATGTCCATAAGCCTGTTTCCATATAGCGAACATGGGATGTGATTTTTTTTTTTTTTTTGTTGGTAAAAGTAACACTGACACAAACATGTAATTAGTCAGTCGATTCTGTAAGGGATGCTGAGCCAGGGGGACTACTTTCTTTTGCGCATGCACACACAAGAAAGCGCGGAGTAGATATCTCGCCAAGAAAATTAAAAAGTCATCGGGCGCACTTCTGCTGCAGCTGATTACTGAGAGGGTGGTGCCCATCAAATACACTTCAAATCCATGTAGAGACCCAATGCGCGCAATCAGAGGTCTGCTAGCAATCCCGTCCTTTCTCGTTCACATAAACACCACTTAAACGAAAATATACACGGCCACCTACAGCGCAGGGAAAGTGATGAAGGGGTACCCACCTCGACATTACACTGTTTTCAATTAAAGCGACAATGAGTGAAAAAGAGGCGACACTGCAGAGACAAAGAGCCAGGAAACCAATTAGGATGCATCTTAAAATCAAAAAGTCGGAGAGAGTAAAAAGTCTCGTGTGCACTTAAAATGTGTAATTCAAATAATTTTATATAATAGTTTCATCATAGACATTTTTATTTATACAATTAATGTAAATAAAAACAAGAGTAAAATAATATATAAACAGAACTTTTGTTTATTTCAGAGATTCTGTAATATAAAGACAAGATGCTGCAGCACAAGTTTATTTTCTAAAGCGCAAAAATATCTTCAGTAATTCTGCGTAAAGCTGACAGCATGCCACTTGTATTTGTGCAACGAGTTACATTATTTACAGGCTTGTCTTTTACACGTTTATTCCCACATGACATGAGAAAATAAAATAAATAAAATCAAAGAAACCTGTATGTTATCAGAAATTCTGCTGTCAAACTCCGAACCATTTTCAGGCCCTCAGAGTAATATTTAAATGTTATTGTAAAAACAAATCCGCAATATTCATGTATTTCAGCTTTTGAACTTTTATGGGATTTTGAAACTGTATGGATCTATTTATTGATTTCAAATAATGTTATTGTTTTTCTAAAAGCTCCACATGATGTCCAAAGCTTTACCACGTGTAGTACAGAGACGTTGAACATTTTAATTTAGGTTTAAGTTGTTTGCTCTATACTAAAACAGACTGTGTGATTCCCGCATGTTGGCCTAAGTACTGCTTCAAAACCTGATTCAAGTTCAAGGCAGATGAACTTACGGCCAGTAGATCGATCACTCTGTCTCAATGTCCTCCAAACAAAGTCCCTGCGGCCTCTCGGTGACCCTCTGCGGCCCTCTTTCACCGCCGGGGAGAGAAACTGGTTTATTTCTCAAAGATAATCGTTTGTAAAGAAAAATCAATTCGTACGTTGTAACAGTTAATCATTCTCTGAGTCTCATTGATCTGAGCCTCATCTCCCCAAGAGTTTAATCTGTGTCCGTGGAGCCAAGTCAAATTATCCTTCTGACTGCTGCAGCTGTTGGATCTAATCTGCCGGGTCTATTTGCCTAATTGGTATGAATACTCATTAATTTTGTAGTGAGCCATATCGTGACTTGCTCAGATGATGTAGCACAGTGTGGCCTTTAGTGTCTGGATCTGGGAGAACACAGAAAATCTAAAAGCGTCACAACTAAGCTGAACGTACTGTCAATATTACAATATTGTGTCTGACAATAAAGTCCAGGTTGTAGAAAAGAAAGGCCTAAATTATATATTCTAGGTCTGTGGATGTGGTAGTGTGCCATCGTACAAGGGTTTAGGTTGACTAAAGTGGGACTCTAACCAGTGAGAAACCATTTTTATGTACATTTGGGCAAAGCTTTGCAACAACCCGATTTTTAAAAGGGTCCATAATTGGTTTCAGTGCACTAAATAACGGTAAGACAGTCCGGAAAGCCTGTCAGGACTGTGCACTCTGCGGTGTACCTCCACCTAAGTGGCCGAGCATTCCTGAGGATGCAGCGCTGTCAAATATTTCATGATGGGACGTCATGGAAAAGTGCATGACTTCGTCTGCGAAGGAGCAACAGGGAAGCTCTGACATACAGGGACTCCAGCCTCAGTAATGACGAACATAACCTGCCACCGACGCTGTTATAGCAGCTATTTCCTCTGAAGGAGTAAAATATTCTTAAATTGTGGATTTATTTAAAAAAAAAAAAGATTTTTGATGATGTACATTATTATATTAGAATACTTTTTTATTTCCGATTGATTACCGTAATGTCAATATTGAATATTAAACTTCCATAATATCCTAAATATATATATATATATTAGCTTTTTACTGGTTAAAGAAGAATGCTGTGGGGAGTAGCGCATCACCATCCAACACTGATGGGTTGAGTAAACATTTAACCACGGACTGGCTTTGGATAGACATGCAAGTTAAAAAATATATATATGTAGGCCTATACATAACAAAGAAAGAATAACATGACATGGGGCGAATGAGCGTCTGAGAAAAAAAGCGCCCTAATGGAATGAAGTCATCAGCGGTAATTAAATGCAGTGGGCAGAGAGAGGACGGGAGCGCGCCTGCCCCTGGTGCGCGCTGGGTGGTCCGCTATGCTGATAAATGTGTGGCCTTCACTCCAGGCGAGTGGCCGAGCAGGCATCGGTTAAAACAATACTTACATTCATTTATCCATGGGTTTAAATCTCCTCTGCAACAGCACATACTAACAGTGGCACACCGGTCACCTTTGGGTTGACAATGAAAATTTGACAATGAATTGTTTTCTCGCTTTCCCATGTGGCAAACCGCCTGGAACAAAACAAAAAAAAAAGGTAGCGGCTCCGGGACTGGGCAGTTCCGTTATACATCAATTAAAGCATTTCATATTTCTGCTATACAAAGAAAATTCATTTAAATATGTTTCCTAAAATTAGACTTCTAAACATGCTGGCACATTATTTAATAGAAAAAAAGGAGCTGCTGGTGACATTTACGCACAGGCAACAAAGTCTCCAAACAATGTCTGCATTTTACGCACATGCAGGGCAAAAATTGCAAATATGTTCATCCACTATTTCCCCCGGTGTTATTTTCCATTGTGTCAAAACCAACAGTCGTCATAAGCATCCACAAGAAACAGTAACGCCAGGCAGAGACCAGAAGCACAACGAGCTCAACTACCAGAACCCACGGAGAGGCAAAAGGTTGTAGGCTGCAGCTATCGAGATCTCCAGGGAACAATAAGCAACCTACTGTCAACAGTTTTAGGTTATAGACTGATCGTCTTTCAGTAACTCTCGCTCACAGCTGCATAAAAGGCAGTAAAATTAAGCTTCTCGACTTAGAAACACAAAGAGATAAACAAACTGTTGCGCGTCTTCTTCTGAGTGAATTACAACTCGGTTAAAGCAAAAACATTCTGTAGAGCTTAAGGCATAATTTAGGCTCCGTTGTTCTAATTATCCTACAAGATATTGTGTCACATAAAATAAACTAATCGTCTCAGGTTTTTTTCCACTGTGGCACCAAATTTAGAGCGGCCACAGTTCTGCTGTGGATATTTTGACTTTAAGGTGTTAAATCCACTTTACCTTAATTCCTGGATCATTCGATGGTAAACTGCCTGCAGGAGTCGATCTTCAAGTCCCCGTCCGAGTTTCTGTGCTCATAGTTCGGCAGAGCTTCCACCTCACTCCTCCCGCGTCCCTGCGTAAATATTATGACTGCATTACACAAACAATATTCATGTGTAAAAACGTCCAACATCACAAGACGCTGCGAACAGACGGGCATATCGCATCAGATTGAGTATTAGCTGATCTAAACGGGGCTTTTGCTTGATTTTTTATTTAAAGAAGGCCAGGGAAAATGTTTACATTTTGCTGTATAAACATCCTGCCCATGTTCCTGTCTATCTTTTACAGAAATCAGGAGGGTGGTTTAGAATATGAGGGGCACGTTCTCTGGTAAATGCTTTCGATATAGTAAAAATGTTTTATTAAATATTTCAGATGTTTAATAAGAATAGAGGCATGACCTATTTGCCGTGCTGGTGCATCAATCATGGAATGGAGAGGTGCTATTTCTACAGCAGGTTTATGATGTAAACTATCACAATATTCAGTGTTGAAAATAAGAATCAAAATAAAATAAAGTCATATTAGTTAAGGAGGCAATGAAATCTAAAGGCCATATTCAGTATAGTTACTATCACTATGTGGTCATGTAATATAGGCCTAGAGTATTATAAGCCATTTGAAGCCAGTTCAGCATATAATAGCACATAGGTTATTACAGGCTGTATGGGAGATACATTCCCTATTTCAGTGTAAGAAAGGGGAAAAAAACATTTCGCTGAAAAGTGAACGCACACAGATGTGCATGCTTGCAGCCCACCACTGGAGTAGGAGGGAACTGGGCGGGTCCCAACATTAGGATGGCCAAGACATCCAGCTTCCAATGCGCTGATGGCAACAGATAAGTAAAAAGTGAGCTCCTCGGACGCACGACAACACACCAACTGAAGTGGAAAGCGGCTCCTGTTCTGCTCCTCATCCTATTCGGACGTTGCGTACAAGACGGTTCGGCTTCAGACTGCTGCAGGACTGAATCGAAAGGAAGAAGACAGTCTCGTCTTTGGCTCGTGTGTTAAGTTTGTCTCCAGTTTGCCTACTTTTTTTTTGGCTCTTTATGTCAGCGAATTCGTATTCAGCTTTGTAGTGTTTATAGGCGGAAAGGTGGAAATCAACCGTTTTCGTTTTGTCATCTCGAAGACTAAATTTAACTCATGACGGCAGAGGTCCAGCAGCCCCCAGCGCAGACTCCTGCTCAGAGCAGCCCGATGTCTGCTCCGGAGAAGCCGCACGGACAGACGGCGGTGATGGAAACCGCCTCCTCCACAACGAAAACCAAAAAGACAAACGCAGGGATCCGCAGACCAGAGAAACCCCCGTATTCATACATAGCTTTAATAGTCATGGCTATCCAGAGCTCTCCAACGAAGCGCCTGACGCTGAGTGAAATATACCAGTTCTTGCAGAGCCGCTTCCCGTTTTTCAGGGGCTCGTACCAGGGATGGAAGAACTCCGTGCGTCACAACTTGTCCCTGAACGAGTGCTTCATAAAGCTGCCCAAGGGCCTCGGCCGGCCAGGGAAGGGCCACTACTGGACTATCGACCCGGCTAGTGAGTTTATGTTCGAGGAAGGCTCCTTCAGAAGGAGACCCAGGGGTTTTAGGCGCAAGTGCCAGGCGCTGAAGCCGATGTACAGCATGATGAACGGCCTGGGATTCAACCACATCCCCGAGTCCTACAACTTCCAGGGGAGCGGCGGGGGCCTATCCTGTCCGCCCAACAGCTTGTCTCTGGACAGCGGGATTGGGATGATGAATGGACACTTGGCAGGTAACATGGAGGGGATGGGTCTGTCCGGGCACACCATGTCACACTTGTCGACCAACAGTGGACATTCCTACATGGGAAGTTGTACAGGATCCACTGGGAGTGATTATCCCCACCACGACAATTCCGCCTCTCCTCTGCTCACCAGCGGGGGAGTCATGGAGCCTCACCCCGTCTACTCGAGCTCAGCCTCGGCGTGGGCTCCTGCACCCTCGGCCTCGCTCAATAACGGGGCCTCCTACATAAAGCAGCAGCCTCTGTCTCCCTGTAATCCAGGGGCAAACCCGCTGCAGCCAAGCTTGCCCACACATTCACTAGACCAATCGTACCTGCACCAGAACGGGCACAGTACTACAGATTTACAAGGTAAGCTCAATGTATTATTTCACTCTAAATTCATCTATGTTACTTAAAAACTGTAGCTGATTTTGCTGGAGGGGAAAAATAGTTCAATTATAGGATGATACAGGAATACAATGAACAAACCATTGAATTTCTAGATGGTCTAAATAATATTTTCTGCACAGGGTCAAGCCTGGTGGTTCACAGATGTGTATGGTTTTATGCCAAACGTGGACCTCATGGAAATATTGAGCAGCCTCACATTACCTCATTTGAATATCGCTGTATTTATTTCTCAGTAACTAAACACAAGCGTATCTCCATTGCACATAACGGAAGAAGAAATCAAATCAAGGCCATTGAGGAAATGTTATGCAACAAAAAGAAACCACGCATTTTCTCCCACGCAAATTACGCTTGCTCACTGTCCTGCTGCTCTCAATTAAACACAATACAAAATAAAGCCCAGATATAGTTTCTGGAAATGATTTTTTTTTTAAAATACTAAATAAGGAGAGTCAGTTTAGAGACGTGCCAATCTCCGGGCAAGAAAAAACAAGCGCGGTTAGGACCAGCCTGCCTTGCCCTGAGGCCCCGAGTCCTCCGGGACTGGCGTGCGAGAGGGCCACTGTCAATTAGCCCTGCAAGCCCGCCTCTCCCTCCTGACAATCTTAATCGTGCTTGCTAAATGGACTGCGGGTCTATGAGGAATATACACACGCAGCCTTTTCCGAGTTAATAAAACTCCACATCCTGACTGTACAAATTAAACACACCATTTATTTCTAAAATAGGCGTATAATTATTAATTTTATAGAAAATGTTCTATATAGGGCGTCCTTTTACAATAAAATATGGCTGGAGAGGTGTGGAAAAACACTAGTATCGGTTAGGGTCCCCCACTTAATTTAACATAGTTGTCAAGTTACTACAACAAATATTAGGCCTATTATTATTATTATTATTATTGTTATTATTATACATTTTATTTTTATGTAAGACGTGTTTTATTACTAATGGATCCAAAAATCCAAAGTCAAAGCTCCAAGAGGAGATGTCGATCATGGATTACAGTGGTAACAATTAATTAAAAGTTAAAGCCTGAGCTTCAAACAACAATCTTAGAAACTGTCAAAGTCTCATTAAACCTCCTTGTGGCATTCCAGATCTTCCCTGTTTTTAATCCTTCTTTTAAAACACCTTTACGCAGGTATTCCTCGGTACCATTCCCAGTCTCCAAGCATGTGTGACCGAAAGGAGTTCGTCTTCTCGTTCAACGCCATGACGTCCTCGGCGATGCACTCACCGAGCAGCGGCTCGTACTACCACCACCAACAGGTCGCCTACCAGGACATCAAGCCCTGCGTCATGTGATGCCTCCACACGGACAATCTGCAGACCAGAGGGACGGTGTCACAGACTTGAGCCACGCAGCAGAGTGAAGTGAAAGGAGAACAACCGAGTAAATAACCACTGAGAGACAGAGGCCTGCCCCGGCCCTGATGAGTGCTCACTGCTTCAAGTAGACCGGACTACTTTTCTGTACTGTTTTTTACACATCAGCGACAAAGACACGGAGACAGGCCAATCACAAAAGCAACCACATAATAATAATATATAATAATACAAACTTTGTCATGCCATCAACATCGACCAGCGGGTAAAGACTGGCTGTATGAAACCCTGCTGCTGTTTGGTACTTAGTCCTGCAGAGCGGATGACTACCACTTCACACTTTTGTTCATGTTTATTCTTCTTGTTAAAGTAGGCCAATGTAAAAAATGCACACGTCTAAGTTTCTAAGTTTTTACTTTTCTTTTCTTTGACAAATTAGACTGAGGCTCTTTTTTTTTGGACTTTCATACCAGCGTTGAATTTCAAAATGAACAATTATGGACATTGTATATATATGTCCATATACTGTGTAAAAATGATGAAGGCACTTTTTGAATAGCCTATAAGCGCAGCTTTTTATTTATTCTGTAGGCCTACATATTTTAATTTCAGGCGAATTGGCCAAGGAGGTATATGCTTTATTGGCAATATTTGTCAGAACGCTTGTTATTTGTTTTAAAATGAAAATTGAGGATATAATGTAAGCACTGTTATGTCGTTTGTGTTAGATATATGTAGACCATTACTTTCAGCACTGTATACTTATATATTGTTAGGAAAATTAGCAAGGGTCCATCAATGAGGGCTGCTCTTTAGGCTATATTATAACAAATCATTTGTAAGAAATAAAATATATCTGTTGGGCTAGTTAAGCCTAAATCCACAAAAAAAAAGACATATTTCGATTTCATGACACACCCATAATTGATGGGACATTTTTGGGACACTGCAAACAAATACCTGTGTAGATCTGAAGTCGGTGAGCAGTATTACACAATCAACCAAAATTTGCAATAGCCTACACAACGAGTGAGGCAATTTCCGCTTTTTCCTGAAATACCACAATATTGATAATAATTCAACAACATTTCAATGAATTCATTAAACTAATAAGGGGGATAAACTGACTTCATGTCAGTATTACATACAATATATAATATTTGGTGATAGTGAAGCCAACAATTTAAAGCACAATACGCATATAACATCCACACTATAGTACTACAGCAGTACTGCAGAAAGGTTATAGAAAATATCCAAACTGCGTCTCCAGTGTCCATCTGGCAGCAGCAGCTCATGCCTGTTATTGTAAACTGACGTTAAATTAACAAATCTGATTTTCCACAAAACAATAAATAATTGATTATAGATTTAAATAAATGGTTTTGAAAGTCAATCGTATTATGCCCTCTATGTAAGGAGAGTGTTCGCAGCAATTAAGGCGTAACAAATGAGAGGCAGAAATTTCACCCGTGTTTGGTTACAGGGTGAAAACCTGCAGCTCCAAAAAATGCATTTTCTCCAAAAGATGTTTCTGCCGAATAACACAGGGGTCAAAGATACAGACACTTTTTGAAAACCCACACAAAGAATGGATTTTAAGAAAATATAAATCCCAAACTAACAACTTACAAAGAGGAAAATTGGGTGTAACATTAAATGTGAGCGGATGCGCAAAAGGCAAAAGCAAAGGTTTGTCCTCTTAAAAACACTTACGTCTAAAATATTACATAAAAATGTACTGCAGAGGCACAGGAATAAGATGCAATGAAAAATGCACAAATTAATATGTGAATGTCTTATCACACCATGGAAATACTACAGTCACTCCTTATAGAAGGCACATGAGCCAGTTTCCCTAAATGCTCTTCATCAGATTCCTTATTATTTGTTTATTATAGCAGTTGCAAAAATCATAACTGCTAGTATTACCAGCTACTAAGAATATGAAATTCTTTTAGTTTCAGATAATTATGTGATGTTGAAAATAAGAACAGGGGCTTCCAATGTACAAAAACATGGTGAACAGCAATCTACATACTGCACACCTCTCCTGAGTGAATTGTAACTTAAGATGTCTTCTACTTCAGTAATGCTGTTGAGGCGTGTGCGCACACATACATTTGTAATTCAGCCCGTAAACACGCTGTTTTAATACTTGTGTAGCTTTGAAATCTCACAACATGACCACCGACTGAACCCAAGTAAAATGCCACCGAGCACAGGGATAAGAAGACTCAACAGCAGTTGAACAGCGCATTTACAAACTGATGACATTTTGTGAGGTTCAGTGCTTTAGCAGGGCTGAGGGAGTGAGATGGGGCTCCACAGCTGTTCCCTCGCCAGGCCTGGATGACAGCTCCATAAAAAGCCAGAGGCCTGCTCTGTGCAGACAGACATGCTGTGTGCTTGTGTCTCAATACAATAAAGACTTCAGTGAAAACAGGACACTTGTCTGGTAGTGCACACTGACACACAGAGTGATCAGTTACCAGGTAATAGTCGGTGCAGAAACACAGAACATTATCAGGCACAAGATGCAGGTTAAATCTGGATGACTGGTGTATGAATCTGTTTCAATGTGGGTTAATCTCTCATTTGTTTTGAAAACCAACTATTACTATTAGTATTACAGCAGATAGATTTGTCTGATGTATCAGCTCTTCCGAGTTTTGTAAAATATGAAATATGAAGTTTAACTTTTGTCCTTTAATTACTGTCTCTTCAGCAGAACAATCTGTGTTATTAGTGAGGATAGTTTGAGGGGTATCAGGCTTTGCCACAACTGGACAACAACAGTACGAGTTGGATTTGTTTCCCAAAGTTTGCAGTTTTCAAAAATCAAAATCAGGGTAATTTCTTAAATGCTGAAAAATGGTGTGAAGATCCCTCATATATTTGTTTTGTTTGTTTTGTTTAAAAATAAAAAAAAATAAGACACTACGCCATAACCAGTACAGTCAAACGTTTTAGTAGAGAATGTTATAACATTTTACAAACAGATCCTTTAACACTACAAGAGTTTTTTTCAGGCACGGTAGCAAATCTTATCCGTTAAATAGTGAGGCTGGCCTCATATCACCTGACTCAACCAGACAGAATACATGGTTTCATCAATAAGGAGGTACAAATATCACTGTTTGAATGTACAATGTCTATTTTCAAAATATTATGAAAAAAAAAGAACTTAAGAAATCAAAAAGCAAAGCTCCAATGAGGTTGCACAAACCTATAAATATGTTGTTTTTAAATAAATAAATATAAATAAAATAAATCCAGATCTTAGTCAAAACACACTGATAAACAATCACGTTGATTTTTAGAAAATACCTAATTTCTGGGTTATGTGCAAGGATGTATTGTGAAAATTTTCAACTAAGTCAGGATCATCACGACTAAATTATGGCTTTAATTTCTGTTGTCTGTATTCAAAATAGCCTAACAATTGGGGATATGTTCACGTCTTCCAAATGTGGTTGAAACTGCTCATGATTTATGGCAATTTATGTCACATCCATTTCACAATTTGGCAATAGAATAGACTATAATAATGTTTTTAAGTGTAAAAAAAAAAGTTATATTTTTATTTTTTGTGAAGTGGTGAAAATGTGTTTTGTAAAAAAAAAAAAAAAGAAAAAAATTAAAAAGGGTCTGTGTGGTCAAACATTAGTGTGGCCTAGGTTATATGGATACATACATGTTAGAGCAAGGAATTTATTATTTATATAATATTATTTATTGTTGTTCTACTAGGCTTAATGGCTCAGGACTCATCAGGATTGTATGAGCTGATTAAATGACCACATGGTGGCGCTATCTGTAACAAAAACAGATCTTCTTTGGCCCATGGCCTTAGTTTTTGAGATAACTAACTTCATCAGGTCTAAAAAAAATGTGTTTCTTGGTGGAGTACTGAACACTTTTATTTTTTTAATTTACTTATATTTTAATAAAAGTCTACATCTATCTCAAAGAAGTTCTCAAAAAACGCCTTCAAAGAATGAAGGCTCTCAGGACACACAGACCAGCAGGTGTGTGTGAATAAACAAGGCACATAGATGTGGTTAAGTATAGAGAAATGATATGTACAAATCACTTTTCCAGTGAAATGTTTTATGATGCTGGGATTCAGCCATTGCATATTTTGAATATTTAATTAAGCTCATTAGCCTTAGCAGTCACTTTAGAGGTAATATATATTTTAAAAAAAAAACTCTCCTTAAGGAATTTAACGTCATTTAGCGTATTGCCTGTATTACTGTTCAGTCATTTCATTGCTGTCACTCTTAGTTTCTGGTGGTGGTTTAGTTTTTGGAGCTGCTGATGGTCCTGGTCTCCTATTGGACTCTCCGGACCTCCTGCCTCCCCGCTGGCTCTTGGCCAGCTCAGCCTGCAGACTGTGACCATTCAGACTGAGATCCTGCAGAGCCTCCAAGGCCTGCTCCGCAGCCTGAGGGTCGATGTAATCCAGGAAGGCCCTGTGTTGAGCTCCCTGCCAGGTGAGCCTCAGCGGCGCAGCCTCCCTCTCTCTGAGGGCAGTTTTCAGCTCACTAACACGTAGCCCAGCAGGGATACCCCCGAGGTAAACTGTGGTCACACTGAGAGGGAGCTTACGTTGAGACATGACTTCACTCACAGCCTCCTCTGGGTCCTTCTCCTTCATGTTCCCTCCTCGTCTTCCCTTCCCTCTCTCATTGAATTCCCCCTCTTTACCTCCCCCGCCATCTCCCCTGCTTTCTTTCCTCACTCGAGCTGGGCGCTGTCTGGCTTTCTGTTCTGACTCTGCTCTCTTCTCCTGTTTGGATTCCCCCTCAGCATCCTGCTGCATGTTTTGCCTTGGCCTCCGTCTGGTTTGCCTTCTGGGTTGACCACTCTGCAGACCGGGCTCTGCTGGAACAGGCACCGCCCCCAGTGTGACATCCTTTCCAGCCTGTTCTTCCAGATCACGCAGCTTCTTCAGGATGGGGATCCTCTCCAGCTTTTCTGTGTCCAGCTGAAGACACAAAACTGGACAGGCTCAGTGAGGCTGAAAGGGGAGGGACTGTTACACACAGCAAACAAATAGTCCTGCTCTGAGCCAGTGCACTATACCTACAGATGAGGAGTTTAATTAATAACAAAGTGAATGCTGACAAATTAATTAGTATTATACCATCCTGCTTACAGTCCCTGCTATAGCATTAATTATCTTTATAGGAGCAGGATATTTCACTTCCAAAGCAGTTAAAAATAAAGACTGCTCTCTTGATTTGTTGGGCCTTTTAGTGTCTTGGCAGCCTTTGATGCTGACCAGTCCTGTAAAGGATATACGGAGCTATTGTTTTTACACTGGCCTGTTTGACCCGTCATTCCCCTGCCCCTGCAGAGCCAAGCTGGCTGGGCAGAGGAGCCTTTGATGATCAGACATGGCCTTCCTGCCAGTGAGGTCACTGGGTCCTGTTTACTTACAAGTGTGTCTTAAGGAACCCAGAGGTTACACACAAACCCTCCACATGTTAAGAATAATGTCCCCATCATGTCTAATTAAAGACAAATTATCAGATGGAAAAACACACCACATCTCTCTGCCAGTGTCAGTAAATCAGGGGCAGTTTAAGGTCTCAGTTAAGACTTACATTAAAATACAGACAGAAGATAATGTGTTTTTTCAGTCTAGCTTTACAGCTGGTAGGTATTTGTCATATCTGTATACTGTACTGTGTACTGTATATAAAAAAACTGCTTATTATAAAATAATTGTATCATTATTACTTAAAATAACAGAAAATAAGACAAAAAGACTAATACTGTGACAATTATAGCACAGAGAAATCAACTGCATTGAGAAGCAGTATGAATGTGTCCTCTGATGAGGTGTGGTGTCATTAAAAGCCCACTAGAGGGCAGTGTCACTAAGCAAAGAGGCTAAACATTCTGTTGGGGCTCAGGAGACTCTCTCTGTACAGTAAGTTTATACTTGACCCAGTTAAAGTGTCAAAAAGATTTGTAGTCAGCTTAAGTGTGCAAGAACCAGGCTACAGCTAAAATGTTACAGCACAGATATTCCTACAGCTGCACACAGACTTTATGAATAATACACACCGGTGTGTGTGAGACAGATGTGTAGGTGTGTGCGTACACTATAAACGTAATGCTTAAATAGACCCAGTGATCGGTGCTCGGTATCGGCCAAAGCGGCTTCTAGTGATCGGTGATCAGTCTCAAAAACCCTCGGAGCACCATCGGAGCACCCTTAATGATATACGTGCAGAGTTTGACACTAGAAGGATGTTAACACGTTCACACTCAGTAGGAAAGATCTTACATATTCACAGACTCTGGAATTTTAATCAGTAACAAATTGAATGAATTAAGGAGTAGATTACTTTTTAACAATTTTAATGTGGAAATTCAATTTTTATCTCATCAACTGTTCGGTTGCTTGGGCTATTATTGAAATGGTTGTAGAGATATTTCCTATAATTTCCCCCTTTCTATTTATATCATATAAAACACCCTTAAAATAAATAACCTAAAATTTAAGCCGTACAGTACGACACAGCAAAGAAAAGTTTACCTTGGTCCAGATGATTCCCTGTGGTTTGGGGTGCATGCAGTTTGTTTTAATAACTCTGGTGGGTGTGAGGATGTAGTCCACAGTCAGATCGTGACTTTCTATTAACTCCTCTGGAATGTCCACCACCTGAAAACACAAAATACCACAATTAGCACCCAAACAACAAGTCATTAATCATGTTTGATCAACAGGATTTTTTTGTGACAATTTTAAGACGGCAGTGTGTAACATTTAGGAATATAATATTCATAGGTATGTTTTCATTACTGTATAATCGAATTAATATGTTTTCGTAACCTTATAAGCTGTTTTTATTCTACAGAGGGAAATGGTTCTCTTTCTCGGAGGCCGCCATGTTGAACCGCCATGTGTCTATAGTAGCCCAGAAAGGTCAAACCAAACACTGGCTCTAAGCGCCTTTTGCATTTTTTGTGAGTTTCACAAACATCCTACTTTCTCCTACACGCTTGGAACAAGAA